AGTTAAAGGGTCTCGTCTGCCCTGACACACTAAATGAGGTAAACAGAGCGAATAGCTCTGCAGCCCACTCTAGCACATCGTCCCTCGACAGCATCTCTGTCCTCTCCCGGGTGCCATTGGTGTCGCCCTTGAAGTCATAGCCCGCATGGGCCCTCTCCTTGTAGGGCTGGATGCGGCGCACTATGAAGCTCGCCACCACCAGTCCATCGTTGGTCTTCACGCCCTTTATTAGGGCGAGGAGCTCCCTCACTTGCTCCATATCAGCACTGCTTGGCCTCTCCGACCAGCTTTTCTGGCTCTCCGGGATGTGGTTGGCATCGCAGCGGGTGGCAGGATGGCTCTGCTTCATGTAGAACCACCTGGCGTTCCACCCCTTCAGTGACGTGTTTAGCGGCACAGTAAGGTACTCGCCCGCCATTCCATCGCGCAGCTGAAGATACACTCCACCAACCACCTTAGAACCACCGCCGCCTTTCTTCTTCAGCCAGAACAGGTGACGGAAGAGGTTGAAGTGGGGAAGGATTCTGAGATACACCTCGCAGAAATGGATGAAGATAGATATGTGCAATATGGTGTTTGGGTGGAGGTTGCATAGACTAACCCTCCAGAACTCCAACAAATCCCTCAAAAATGAATGAACAGGAAACCCTAATCCACGCCAAAAGTAGTCCTCAAATACTACAGCTTCATTGGTATGAGGCATTGGATAGGGCTCACCAAGGGTCGGTCGCCATCCGACAGTGACGCGGTCAGGAAGAACGCCCGCCTCCACCAATCTATCAAGCTCCGCCTCCCCCGTACGTGATGGCACCCACTCTTCGTCCCGACTGACTTTGGCGCTCGCCTTCTTCGAGTTACCAGCTCCCTTCTTCGGTGCCATCTCTCAAATCTGGTCTGGGGTGGCGGCGGAAATGCGAGCGAATATGAATCTGGAGGTGCGAGGGCTGAGGGGGAAAATGAAATGGCAAAGTGGCAAAGGTGGGAGCGCGGGGCGCGGCAGCGCAATTATAAAGCACTTCCTCCACCTTTCGCATTTGAGGGTTTTTGGGAAACCACTCCTGGATTTGTGCCTCTCCGAATTCTCCGCAACCGCGTGGTGGGCCGTTACCTAGGCCTTCGTGCGAATACATCCCATATCGCTCACTTCTCGCCGCAATTTGTTACTGCTCACCAAATATTCGCCGACTTCTCCGCCATCCGTTACGGCTCAGTAATTACTACTGTATAGCCATTACTCTGGTTTTTTCTCCAGGATTTGTTTTCTCCAAAATTTCGACTTGTGGCTCGGGGACTGCGTCAGCAATACGACTTGGTTCCTCACCGCACTATGGACTTTCTTCTGTTAACTGCTGTTTTTGACCCTAGCACCACGTGACTACGTCACCTACTGTCAGGCTCGGGGACTAAGTGGGCACACTTCACCTTACGGTGAATGTGCTTTTCTCATCTAGAGGCTACGCCCGGGGACTGGCTGCCTGCTCGGCTAGTCTTCTACTTTTCTTCTACGTTGGACCCTGGCACCACATGACTACGTCACCTACTGTCAGGCTCGGGGACTAAGTGGGCACACTTCACCTTGCGGTGAGTGTGTTTGCTTTAATCTAGAAGACTCCGCACCTCTTGAAGCTGAAGAAGACTATCTCCTTTTTTCATGCTCGGACTCTAAGTGGGCACACTTGGTTCCACTGTGAAGAAATTTTTTATTCTAAACTTGAGCTCCTTACATCCTTATGGCAAGCCATACTTGGGTCACGCTGCTCGGCAACGGTTCACGCTGCTCGGCGATGGTTCACGCTGCTCAGTGATGGTTTACACTGCTCGGCGATGGTTCATGCTGCTCGGCGATGGCTCACAACTGCTCAGCAACTCATAACTGTGATCGGACCATGAGTTTGACTGCTCAGCTTTGTTCGCACCAGCTCGAACAAGCTCAAGACGGCGTTGCACAACGAATACAAGGCGCTCGGGGACTAGCTGTGGGGGGTACGACTCCGGATACCCACGACAGACCACATGGGCTGCGCCCCCAGGGGCGGCCCAGCCCACAAGACGAAGCCTTGCGGGGTACGACACTGCTCGATGCCTCCCACAAGACACCGAGAAGATATCCTAAAGATACTACGAGATCTGTTAGGATACGTATGATCCCATGATTCCTGTAATCTGTTATTACTTTCCGGTTATCTCCTACATCTAACCGACTTGTAACCCTGCCTCCTGGACTATATAAGGCGGGCAGGGACCACCTCCAAACACACGCAATATCATACGATAGCCAATACAATCCAACAGACCACAAGAGTAGGGTATTACGTCATACTGACGGCCTAAACCTATCTAACTCGTGTGTCTCTGTTGCCTTCTTGTTCTCGATTACACGCATCTCTGTCGATCAATCTACCTTCGTGGGATACCCCTCGGAGGACTGCCGACGGTATTCTGTCGACACGTGTCTTAGTGTAGGATAATAAACACTTGTTCTGAAATTCTTCTATAGCTTTGATGATGACATCTTTATCTCCACCAGGTAGGTCTTCATAAGGTACCATAAGGATGTCGTTGTTGTTGTAAGCCGCCATGACGATTGTGGGGTCCCACCAGGGCGTGCCAGAACGTGTGTTGGCACGGAAACACATCGGGCACACGAGCAAGCCGGAAGGGTCTGCTCGATGGAGCCGGAGATCCGCCTGGCTTCAACGCAGGGATGATCGGTCCTAGTATTCCTCCCGAGACGTGCCAGTCAATTTGACCCTGCAATTGACAAGGAGAGAAAGTTTATCAGTAATTTAAGGTGGAACATGCCGGTTTGTGCCCAGACAGTTCCAAGTATGCCGCTTTGGGAGCAGCCATACGGGAAAAGCGACTAAATAGCCGATCCACACAGAAATCGGCTGTTACGGACTGTAAAGCTCATGGATAATGATTAATTTCATATTGATAGGTATAATACTCGTAGATGTAAATAAGATCATCAGCTAGATAGATATTGCCAGTGTAAAGCATTGAGCCGATGAATCTAATCAGGAAAAGATATAGCACACAAAACGAATCGACTATCTGATACGAACAGATCTACAAATGGTCTGAATTTAATCTGTTACCACCAACAGTGAGGTTCGACTGGATCGATGGCAGCTATGATGATAGTAACAAACTAAAACCGAAGAATCCGCAAAAACATCCGTACTTCGACAGGCTTTCCGAAAGACATGCTATACGTGAAGGCTTAGATGAATCGGCTAAAATAGTCAATTCAGGTGAAAAAGGACTACAGCGTGTGAACAATCAACTATTTCACATGAACAAACATGTGGACTCCTCAGACTCAACTTGCTATCTCTAACAGTGGGTTCGACCGGATCGATGCAGCCGTGAAAAAGACAATGAATCAAACCCTTAAAGCACACAGATCTATTCACGCTTAACAGAATCATGGACGTACACCGTAGGCGTTAACGCACAGGCGATCGGCTATTTAGCCGATGCAGGCATAGCAAACAGCTAAGGTCACGCATAACCAGGAACAAATCTACCAACTAGCATCCTCCAATCTACAGTGCCATCAATGGGGATCGATCGGATCGTTACAGCCATAATGGTAATCTATAAACTAGATTCTACTAGCCAGCAAACCTCTTCAAGATTATTCATGCCTTAACCGCGTACTATGCACGATCAAGATCGAAGTAAAAACAACCGATGAAGCATAATCCGTCGCTCAGAGTAAGAGACATCGTGTTGTGGTAAAGCGAATGACGGACTGAAAGGATATAGGGCCGATCTAATTCGATCTCGACCGGGCAAATTGATGTTGCTGCAAACTAATAATAATGAAAACATCAGCAAGATCGGTAACTTAATGAATCTACCCAAAGGACGCCACCCTTAGATAGAGTCGATAACTTGACCTTAATCTAGTTCGAGCAGTGGAGGTCGACCGGATCGATGCAACCGTACTTGAACTAGACAAGAGTCGATAACTAGCTTATACTAGAGTCGCAGTGGAGGTCGATCGGATCAATGCAGCCGTATGAACAGAAGTATAAGCCATGATGATACTTACAGATAAGCCGGAAGTCGGTCGGACCGATGCAACCCTGCTCGCTGAAGAACTCGCCGAGATCTACTCTACTCCTACTCCTAAGGGGTGACCGGAGCCTAAAAAGTAAATGACTTGTATTTGATTCATTGTATCCTTTACAATAGCCGGGGTCCAACATTTATACCCGGAACCTACGCATGAATCCTACTTAAGCAAGACTCATTACAATCTTCGGCATAAGAGAAAACATTCCTAATTTAAGATAACTTGGACCCTAATCTTTCTCTTTTTGTAGAGTCCAACATGTTTTTCCTGATGCCAACAGCAATTTTTATCGTTATCTGTTGGCGCTATCTGAAGAGAGCCGATTCCAGTACTGCATTCGAATCAGCTGATACCGACCTTTATGCAATCGATTCCTTGGTGACACGATCTTGGGAGCTTTCGAGTTCCTGCAATTCTTCTTCCCAAATTTTGGTGTAAACAAGCATCTTGATCCTTTCAATTAACACATGTTTACGTCGCCACACTTGCCGCTGTGGCAGCCTATATAAACACACCATCCCCATGCCCAAAGCATCAACAGAGAGACGCAAATTCAACAAGAAGCTCTCTCTAGCTGAGTTCGGAGAGCACAAACATAAAAGCTAGCGAGCGGAAAATTAAACCAGATGGCTCCCGCCACCTACTTTCTCCTCGTTTCTTTTCTAGCATTGGACACTTCCCAGGCCATTGCTTCTGACCCTAGCCCGCTCTAGGACTTCTGTGTAGCCGACATACACTCTCCAGGTATGCATGCACTCACTTTAAGTCATGTTATATTCTTGTACTAAATTGAGGATCAAATAATAATCATTTGTTACAACAAACATTATACTTTTCATGTATGTCCTAATGTTTTCTTTCCTTCGTCTTTGTATATGCAGTGAAGGTGAATGGATTTGTTTGCAAGGACCCCATGGCCGTGAACGCATATGACTTTTTCAAGGCAGCAAACCTTGACAAGCCTAGGGACACAATGAAAAGCAAGGTCGGATCCAATGTTACTTTGATCAATGTCATGCAGTTGCCTGGACTCAACACCCTGGGCATCTCGTTGGCTCGCATTGACTACGCACCATTAGGTCAGAATCCGCAACACACCCACCCACGTGCCACAGAGATTCTCACCGTGCTTGAGGGTACACTCTATGTTGGATTTGTCACCTCCAACACAGACAACGGTAACAAGCTATTCGCCAAGGTTCTCAACAAGGGTGATGTGTTTGTATTCCCCCAAGGGCTCATACACTTCCAATTCAACCCGATCCATGACAAGCCGGCTGTGGCAATCGCTGCACTAAGCAGACAGAACCCTAGGGCAATTACTATTGCCAACGCAGTCTTTGGATCAAAACCACCGATCTCATATGATGTCTTGGCCAAGGCCTTCCAGGTGCAAAAGGGGACAATTGATTGGCTCCAAGCTCAATTCTGGGAGAACAACCACTACTAAGTAAATTGTGACTCACTTCATTGTACGAAGATACGTTTATATGCATTTTGCATACTCCTGTGTGTATTCAGTTACGACATGCTACAGCCGAGATATAATAGAATAAATGGGAAGTATTTGTAACCAATCACAATTTTTGTGTCTCTACTGCAAGCTACCTATACCACCACATGTTCTTTTTGAATATTTAAATTGAAGAATCCGACATAACTTATTGAATATTGTTTGTATATGTATGCCGTTACATAAAAAAACTCTGACCCGCGGTGGCTTGACAGACGCCGGGATTTTTGGCTTAAGGTAGAGACCTCACACGTAGGTCGAGAAAACCACCGAACCCCGTACCCCGCCCGTACACAGGGCTAGACAGCCGTCGGGATTTTCGTCTTAAGGTAGAGACCTCTCACGCAGGTCGAGAAAACCCCGAACCCCATACCCCACCCGCACACAGGGGCCCGTAACCCTGTGAGTGGGCCGGTGCCTAGTACAAACCTGTGCTTTGGGAACGCGGGGCAGACGAGGGGGTTTTTTTCACCTCTGGCGCTGCAAATTTGCCCCGTGGGGGTTCGAACTCAGGCCAGGAGGGTGCCAACCGGAGTGCTTGACCAGCCGGTATTGCATCCTTTGACGCCGTTACATATATAAACAATATTTCTCAACAGTAATTTGGAGACGAATATTGCATGGAGCCGTCCAAATTACTAGGCTAAACTGAATTATCAACCGGTAGATCGGCTAAAATTAAATTAATCGACCCAGTAGGCCCTGGAGCCAACGACCAGTGTGTTCCACTAGCTAGATGCATATAGTAACGGAAGTCAAGTATCATACGTGGTCACATCCAATTCCAGCAATGTAAAGACTACTTAAATTCACTTTACAAATGCAACACAAAAGTTCACACACATGAGAAGCAGTTGAGAGCTTCAGGTAAGCAATTGGGAGCTTCAGATAAGCAATTAGCTTCAGATAAGTTTGTAATTATGAGGCAACATTCAGGAAATTTCACTTCAGATAAGCAATTGGGAGCTAGCAAGAGTTGATTAATGTATTGCAGTAACCTAGTAGCTACCAACATTTGTCTGACAAATCGAGATGGAAGAACATGTAGTGATCTGGTAGCTAACAATTACCTCCTGAAAGAAGTCTTACATTTAGAAACTGGTAGCCTTTTATCTATTGAACAAATTAATAATTCAGAATATTTGTTGTGTCCAAACTGTGAGCAAAAGGAGGTGGTGCTTGGATGGAAAGACTGAAAGTGTCACGGAAAGGATGAACTACGCCCTTCCTCTCAGAAGAAAAAAAAGAACAGAACAGAAATATTCATCCATAACATGGCATCCTTTAGTACGCTTTTAGCAACAGAGAAAGACAGATGAAAGCTCATATCTTGGTTCAGAAGATAATTTATCACCGATGTTGGTGCAAACTTGCTGACATCCTCAAAAGCAACAAGCAATCCCATAGAAATTAAAATTGTTTTGCTCACCTGAACAATTCCTTAAGCTGTGGTGCTGCTGGCTGGCGGGCTACCTATTGGCCGTTTAATGCTGAATGGCAAGTTGCCTGCTGGCCGGCTACTGCTGGCTGTTATCCGATTGATTCTGGTCCATCAGCACCAAGACAGACCCGAAGCAAACCATAATTTTGCTCGGCTTTCCGCTGCACAGCCGCATGGAGAGTTGGAGACCGGCTACTGCGACCTCTCATGCGCGATGCCGGCAATGACATGTGTGACATTCTTGGGTGAGAGGCTCAGCCTGGTCCCGATGCGCACAGCGCACGGTGGCCGCAAGGCTCAAGCTGCTCTTTCAGCACGTTGCTAAACAAAACAGCCCATCCGTCCCAGCCACCACCACCACAATGTTGCTGCCGTCGGCCGTCGCGTAGGTCCTAACGACGAAAAATCCACCTCTCTACTCTGTACGTAACTAGTCCCTCCCTACTCGTAAAGAAAGTCGTTTTGGACAGCGACACGATCTCCAAAACACAACTTTAACTTCTTGTTTCAATAAAAATATTTATCAAAAAATGATATATGTATACTTTTATGAAATTATTTTTCAAGACAAATCTATTCATATAATTTTCACATTTCCAAACTCAACTTGAGAGTTATTCATGATTTATATTCTAAAGATTTGACTCAAACCTTGTCCTAAACGACTTCCTTTACGAGCACGGAGGGAGTACCTATGGAAGTGACAAAGAGGTAGAAGGCTGACACCTGGCACCACGCCGCCGCACCGCCCCAGCCAGCTGGCAGCTCCCAGCCCAACCACGGTCAGGCCACCACATCCCACGTTCCCAGCATATGCAGCCACGCCTGGATCTCCTCACTACCTTCTACTCCTTCATCATCCAAATTATAAGACGTTTGATTTTTTTATCTCAAATTTGATCACTCGTCTTATTCAAAAAATTTGTATAAATATAGTCAAATTTAAGTCATTCTTGAAAAACTTTTATTAATAAACCAAGCCATGACAAAAAAAAGTGATATTTTACACAAAATTTTAAATAAGACGAGTGATCAAACTTGATGTTAAAAAAGTCAAACATCTTATAATTTAGAACGGATTAAGTACCATCTTACCCAATAACGACAGGTACAGCTGCCACATGAATCCAGCAGCCGAGCGCGTCGATTCAGCTAGTATAATGATCGAAGTGCCGAGAGTCTAACAGCCGACCCTGGCTGCGGTGGAGCAGATTCGGACTGACATCCGAGGTGGCATCAGCTATGATGGACGACGGGCAGCCCGTCAAGTGGCCGTGCACAAAAAAAGGCAAGCCACGAGCAAGTCATGCCGAGTAGAATAGAAGAGCCGGTGGACCGGTTGAGCTAGAATACAATGGGCCAGACAAAAAAGTAAGAGAAATTTTAGCTCTTTACTATAGATACATAATAAATATATAGAAGATAGATTTGATCAAACATGAAAAAATCGTTGACTACTTGAGCAAATTGCATTCTCTTTGAGACAGAGGGAATTGAAACAAAGAGCCATCTAAATATGTTAAACTAGGTTAAAATGGTTCTCTGGTACGGCTCGATCCGCACATTCTGCACGCTCGTTTGCTAACACCAACATGGCACCAAGGCAAAAGACATAAGTCGGCTGCACACAGGACTCAACATCCATGCGATAACACTCAGGGAAAAATCCAACATAGTAAGTGTCAAAGATTTTGCTGTAACAGAAGACACGGTACAAAATAAGCAAAGACAAATAAAACATTCGGTGACCAATATAGAACCATAAGCTCAGTGACACGAGGCGCTCAGAATCTGAGTACTACGAATCATGTCTGTATACCTAATCCAGGCTTGCATCCGAAGCTCATCTTACAACTCATAAATATGCCCACATCAATCGCCGCACCCAAATGACAGTAGCATCACTGGATCTCACTGCACAGGATGGCAACAATTTGTCAGGTTCTCATGGTAATATACATGCAGAATATGAAGACATGTGGATAACAAAAAAAGTCAAAGATGCCAAAATCCAGCAGAAACAAGGTCGATGTTCCACTTTACCACGGTCTCCAAAAACTAAATTAACAATATACAAAATTCAACATGGCTAGTGCAAAATCTTCTATCTTCAGTTATAGTAAAGAAAGTTTAGAGCAATAACAGTTTAGATTTGCCCGTTCCTGTGTATTTTAGAAAATTAGAACTAGAATAATCCAACCAGATCGATGTTTATCTGTTTATTCAAGATTATTTTAGCAATTCTCAAACTGTAGAAAGAACATTATCTAAACAGAGGACCTGAAACTATAATATGGCCTTTTATGACATTACTTACATGACGTCCAATACAGATTAGCCAAAAGTTACATGAAATCTAGTCACAAATTGGAACAGCATATAATGACAAGACAATCAAGTACCAAAAAACTCACCTGTTGCTGCTGTGGTTGCTGCGCTACTGGTTGCTGTTGGTAATTTGGATAGCCAGTATAAGCTCCAGCTCCATAACTATACATATTAGGATCCTGAGACTGGGGATACCCATAGGCCTCATAGCCTTGACCATAGCCATAATATCCAGCATTAGCCCCAGCCCACTGGTTGGAGTCCTGTTGCGGCTGGAATTATAAATAAACACATAAGCTTCAATCAACAGGTGCGGAAAAGGAAAGTCCATATGTGCCACAGCGAGAGATTACCTGAACTTGTTTGTTTGAAGGGCTGCGACCCCATGAAAGCCTCACATTCTGCCCTCCAACCAAGGTGCCTTGCAGAATTACCAACGCCTCCTCTGCAGAAGATCTGAATGCATAGTAACAGAAGTGATTACATGAGTGAACGTGTTGAATGGATATTTACAATCCACCCAGGCAATAAGGGATCATCAACCAACCTGTTAGCATATTGAACAAAACCACATCTTTTGCCAACAGGGATCTTAACATGGACCACTTCCCCACAAGGGGTGAAAACTTGTTTCAACATATCTTCAGTGACATTGGGGTCAAGACCACCAACAAAAATCTGTGCTCAACAACAAAGACAGGTTATCAGCAGCTAGATAAGAACAATTGCTTGAACACTAGGAAGTAGCAAAAAGAACGCACGGTTGTATTGTTAGGATCATTGTCAGACTGAACTCCCTGAGCACTTGGTACTGTAAATAAAACACAAATAAAGAAGGCATAATGTAAGACAATGAACATTGATGAAAATAATGTGCATGAATGCTGCTTATCACGAACAACATGAACATCAAAAATGCCATTCAGTTAAGAAAAGCAACAATGTATATGCAGATATCCTATGAATACTGTGGCAGAAGGGCATGCTTTGGGCAATCTGATCCACAAATAACTAGCTCACAGGATATTAAGCACAAAGAATCACAAGTAGAAGAAGCAAGATGTGAATCACAAGTAGAAGAAGCAAGATGTGAAACACTCAAGAATGGAAGCAAAGCTAGTCTCAAATTCTAGGAACATCGAAGGAACACATGCATTATGGGGCCTCG